GAAAAGTCATATTCTGATCCCAAATGGAACTATATTGACAAGGGGGAGTTCTGAGATTAGAAATAAGAAGTAGAGAATCCTAAATGTGGAAGGGAGATGCATCACTTACATATTTTCTTATTCCTTTGGATACACCCAATCTCTCCTATGAAATTCAGAAAACTGGGACTCTCTTTAGGAAAAGTCATATTCTGATCCCAAATGGGACTATATTGACAAGGGGGAGTTCTAAGAATAGAAATTAGAAGTAGAGAATCCTAAACGTGGAAGGAGATGCATCACTTACATGTTTTCTTATTCCTTTGGATACACCCAATCTCTCCTATCAAATTCAGAAAACTGGGACTCTCCTTACGAAAAGTCAGATTCTGATCCCAAATGGAACTATATTGACAAGGGGGAGTTCTGATAATAGAAGTTAGAAGTAGAGAATCCTAAACGTGGAAGGAGATGCATCACTTACATGTTTTCTTATTCCTTTGGATACACCCAATCTCTCCTATGAAAATCATAAAACTGGGACTCTCTTTACGAAAAGTCAGATTCTAATCCCAAATGGAACTATATTGACAAGGGGGAGTGCTGAGAATAGAAATAAGAAGTAGAGAATCCTCAATGTGGAAGGAGATGCATCACTTACATGTTTTCTTATTCCTTTGGATACACCCAATCTCTCCTATGAAAAAAAGAAAACTGGGACTCTCTTTAAGAAAAGTCATATTCTGATCTCAAATGGAACTATATTGACAAGGGGGAGTTCTGAGAATAGAAATAAGAAGTAGAGAATCCTAAATATGGAAGGAGATGCATCACTTACATGTTTTCTTATTCCTTTGGATACACCCAATCTCTCCTATGAAAATCAGAAAACTGGGACTCTCTTTACGAAAAGTCAGATTCTGATCCCAAATGAAACTATATTGACAAGGGGGAGTTCTGATAATAGAAATAAGAGGTAGAGAATCCTAAATGTGCAAGGAGATGCATCACTTACATGTTTTCTTATTCCTTTGGATACACCCAGTCTCTCCTATGAATAACAGAAAACTAGGACTCTCTTTAGGAAAAGTCATATTCTGATCCAAAATGGAACTATATTGACAAGGGGGAGTTCTGAGATTAGAAATAAGAAGTAGTGAATCCTAATTGTGGAAGGAGATGCATCACTTACATATTTTCTTATTCCTTTGGATACACCCAATCTCTCCTATGAAATTCAGAAAACTGGGACTCTCTTTAGGAAAAGTCATATTCTGATCCCAAATGGGACTATATTGACAAGGGGGAGTTCTGAGAATAGAAATTAGAAGTAGAGAATCGTAAACGTGGAAGGAGATGCATCACTTACATGTTTTCTTATTCCGTTGGATACACCCAATCTCTCCTATGAATAACAGAAAACTGGGACTCTCTTTAGGAAAAGTCATATTCTGATCCCAAATGTAACTATTTTGACAAGGGGGAGTTCTGATAATAGAAATAAGAAGTAGAGAATCCTAAACGTGGAATGAGATGCATCACTTATATGTTTTCTTATTCCTTTGGATACACCCAATCTCTCCTATGAAAATCATAAAACTGGGACTTTCCTTAGGAAAAGTCATATTCTGATCCCAAATGGAACTATATTGACAAGGGGGAGTTCTGAGATTAGAAATGAGAAGTAGAGAATCCTAATTGTGGAAGGAGATGCATCACTTACATGTTTTCTTATTCCTTTGGATACACCCAATCTCTCCTATGAATAACAGAAAACTAGGACTCTCTTTAGGAAAAGTCATATTCTGATGTAAGATGGAACTATATTGACAAGGGGGAGTTCTGAGAATAGAAATAAGAAGTAGAGAATCCTAAATGTGGAATGAGATGCATCACTTACATGTTTTCTTATTCTTTTGGATACACCCAATCTCTCCTATGAAAAAAAGAAAACTGTGACTTTCTTTAAGAAAAGTCATATTCTGATCTCAAATGGAACTATATTGACAAGGGGGAGTTCTGAGAATAGAAATAAGAGGTAGAGAATCCTAGATGTAGAAGGAGATGCATCACTTACATGTTTTCTTATTCCTTTGGATACACCCAATCTCTCCTATGTGTTAATCAAGGAAGATAGATCAGTCTCCTCTTCATTAAGAGCTATCTGACCGTACAATCCGTACAATCCGTACAAGACTTGTTAATAGCTTCTTCTTCAAGTCACATCTTAGAGAGAGAAGACTTTCCCTCCAAGCTTCACCTCTTGTGACCGTTTAAAGATAAGGAAGGAGCCTTCTCCTTCCCCTTATGACCGTTTGTAAAGTAGCTTTAGGTAAAGTAGCTTTTGCTTTTCCTCTTTTGGCATTTAGCTTAGGAATCTTTTAGGATATTCCTTTTGCTTTTACTTCAAATAGCTGTATACACCTGTAATTACTTTTTAAGGAAATGAGAATACACTCTTTTTCTCTCTAAACTCTCTCTATTCTCTTTTCCAAAACGTGTTCTTCATCTCTCTTTTCTAAATCTCTCTTAATCTCACCTTAAACCGCTGCTATTCTTTAAATTCTCTCATGGTATCAGAGCCAGGTTGCGAAATCTGGTGATTAAACACGCTTATTATCATCTCTTATCCTCTTATTCTCATCTATCCCATCTCCTTCAAGCTTCGTGTTCATACTCAAACCCAGATTCATCCGTACAAACTCTCATTTTTCTTTGAAAAACTCGATCTTTCTTCTTTCTTTTCTCATCTCTGCAAGCGTTAATGGAAGGAAACAAGGTTCCTGCTTTACCTGTGGTCCTAAAAGGGGCTGATAACTATCTGCTTTGGGCAAGAACTGCCAAAGCTGTGTTGTGTGGAAGAAACCTTTGGTATCATGTTGAAGATCCAAAGGATGTTAAAGGCAAGACCAAAGATGGAGGAAAGGAGATGCCTTTGAAAGATTCTGTGGAATGGTTCCAAGAGGATCAAACGGTGCTTGCTATCCTTCATGGAGCTCTAGATCTCTCGGTGCTGGAGTCCTACTCCTATTGTGAGAGTGCAAAGGAGCTTTGGGAAACCTTGAAGAATGTGTTTGGGAACACATGTAATCTCACAAGGGTATTTGAGGTCAAAAAGGCGATTAACTGCCTTCACCAAGGAGATCTGGACTTCAATACCTTCTTTGGGAAGTTTAGGTCTCTATGGGCAGAGCTGGAGATGCTCAGGCCTGCTACTGTTGATGCTGAGGTTCTAAATGAAAGGAGAGAGCAGGACAAGGTCTTTGCTCTTCTAATGGTGTTGAATCCAGCCTTTAACGATCTCATCAAGCATCTTCTCAGAGCCACAAAGCTGCCGAGTCTTGAAGAAGTCTGCTCTCAGATTCAGAAGGAACAAGGGTCTTTGGGTCTCTTTGGCAACAAAGGAAGCGACTTGGTGATGGCCAACAAAGGTGAAGCTGTAGTAGCCAACAAAGGAGCCTATGGAGGAGAAGACCGTGAGGTTTGGGTGTGTGAGCATTGCAAAAAGAAGGGTCACCTGAAGAGCAAGTGCTGGATCTTGTACCCACATCTCAAGCAAAGCCGCGGCAAAGATCAGAAGAAGCCGAGGGCAAATGAGGCTCATGAAGAGGCTGGACCTTCAGACTGTGAGAAAACAGGCAGTGCCATGAGAGCCTCAGCTGAGTATGTGAAGAAGTCAGACCTGGACGCTCTCATCAAGGCTCTTAAGGAGTCTGGTAAACCTATAAAAGCCTTTAGCTTTCATGCATTACATGATCACATCCTTACTAAACCGATTGCTAATAGTGTTGTGCATGATCATTCTTTAGAAAATCATACTGCAAATCATGTCTTGAAAGGTGATAAACCGCTTATTGTTGACTCTGGAGCTAGTCATCACATGATTAGTGATGCTAAGTTGATTAGTAACATGAAACCTGCATTAGGAAATGTGATCATTGCTAATGGTGAAAAGGTTAAGATAGAAGGCATTGGAGATCTTAAACTATTTGATAAGCAATCTAAAGCATTCTACATGCCATCATTTACATCTAATCTGTTATCTATTAAGAAAGCAACTACTGATTTGAACTGCTATGCTATATTCAGTCCTAATGAAGTTTTCTTTCAGGATATTAAGTCAAGTAAGCTTCTTGGACAAGGAACCACTAAAGATGGACTTTATGTTCTTGAAGATACTAAGCCATCTTCTCTATCTAATGCTTTCGTTTTTAGTTCTGTTGTTGAAAATAATGCATTGTGGCATGCTAGATTGGGTCATCCCCATCATAGATCTTTGAATTTGATGTTACCTGATGTTAAGTTTGATAATAATGCTTGTGAAGCTTGTATCTTGGGTAAACATTGTAGAACTGTCTTTCCTAAATCATCTACTATTTATGAGAATTGCTTTGATTTGGTTCACTCTGATGTATGGACTTCTCCATGTATGTCTAGAGAAAGTCACAAATACTTTGTTACCTTTATTGATGAGAAGTCTAAATATACTTGGATCACTTTGCTACCATCTAAGGATAGGGTGCTAGAGGCCTTCATGAACTTTCAAAAATATGTGACTAACCACTATAATGCTAAGATTAAAGTGTTTAGGTCAGATAATGGAGGAGAGTACACAAGCCAAGCCTTTAGGCAACACCTTAACCAACACGGCATTGTCCATCAAACAAGCTGTCCTTATACTCCTCAGCAAAATGGAGTTGCTGAGAGGAAGAACAGGCATCTTATGGAGGTGGCCACCTTGATGTTTCATAGGAATGTTCCTAAGAGGTTTTGGGGAGATGCTGTAGTCACGGCCTGTTATCTTATTAACAGGCTCCCTACAAGAATCCTTCAAGATGCTTCTCCATTTGAGGTATTAAACCACTCTAAGCCATCGATTGATTATCTAAAAGTATTTGGTTGTGTTTGTTTTGTCTTAGTTCCAGGAGAACAAAGAAACAAGCTTGAGGCTAAAAGTACCAAAGGAATGTTTATTGGCTACTCTATTAACCAGAAGGGCTACAAGTGTTACATTCCTGAGACAGGAAGGGTTCTAGTGTCTAGAGATGTAAAGTTCATTGAAGATAAGGGCTTCTATGAGGAAATAAATTGGGAAAACCTGAAGGATCTTCCCCATTCCAACTCAGATCGGGCAGCTACCCTTAGGACCCTGCTTGAGACTTTAAGAAGTGGGAGCACATCAACAGGTTCAGCTCCAGCCGAATCTACTCAAGAGCAGATGGAGCCCCAACCGATAGAAGGAGAATCTGAGGCTGAGACTGAAATTCCTGATGAGGAGGTGGAAAATGATCAGGTTGCCTCACCACAACAAGAGGAACCTGAACAGGATTCAGCCCCCATTCAAGAGGAATCAGTTCCCATAGAAGAAGAACCGGTCGTTCAGGGTCTTAGAAGAAGCCAAAGGATTCGGAAGCCCGCCTCAAATTGGATCAATACAAGGGTTTACTACAATAATCAAGCTGTGGCTCACCCAACTCAGGCTGTGTGTTCTCTAGCTTATGTTCCTCAAGAACATCAAGTGTTCATTGGAGTTTTGGATCAAGAGGCAGTTCCAAGAACTTATGAAGAGGCAAAGGAGCACAAAGTATGGCTTGATGCTGTTACTGAGGAAAAACAAGCTATGATCCGAAATCATACTTGGGATGAAGCTGATCTACCAAGGAAAAAGAAGACTGTGAGTTCTAAGTGGGTATTCACTATCAAGTACAAGAGTAATGGGGAGATTGAACGATATAAGGCAAGGCTGGTTGCTAGGGGCTTTATACAGACCTATGGGGAAGACTATCGTGAGACATTTGCTCCGGTTGCTAAGTTACACATGGTCAGGGTCATTCTTTCTCTTGCTACAAACTTAGAGTGGGAATTGTGGCAAATGATGTGAAGAATGCATTCCTTCAAGGAGAGTTAGAAGAAGAAGTCTACATGACTCCTCCACCAGGTGTTCAAGTAACTCAGGGCAAGGTGATGAAACTAAGAAAGGCAATCTATGGCTTGAAGCAGTCTCCAAGAGCCTGGTACAGAAAGTTGAGTGTTACCCTCTTAGACCGTGGCTTTAGAAGGTCAGAGACCGATCACACTCTCTTTACCCTTCAGAGCCAAGCAGGTATCATTGTCATTCTCATCTATGTGGATGACTTAATCATCTCTGGGAATGACAAGGTTGGAATTCAGGAAACTAAAGACTATTTACATTCTGTTTTTGATATTAAAGACCTTGGTGAACTGAAATATTTCCTTGGGATTGAAGTATGCCGATCTAAAGAGGGTCTCTTCTGTCACAA